CCAAGCAGGCTCTACACTGCCAGTGCAGAGCCTGAGGTGGGGCTCAACTCGCAAACTGAGATCCTGACAAAAGAAGCTTCTAATTAATGTTTGCAGTAGTTGTCTTAGTTTATTGTGGGGGTCGGAACTCTATTAGAAGTAACAGAAATCCAACTTAGGTTAAAGGGGATTTTATTGGAATAACTGGGACCACTCATATAGTTCAACACTCATTCAACAGATGTATATAGAAATAGACATAAATACAGAGACAAATGTAGATTTGTCTACCTACCACTCTAATCTGGCATGCTTTAATTGCTGGGCTCTGTATTCAATTTTAATTATTATTATTATTTTTTATAAAGGTTTTCACTTTTTAAAACAATGTTTATTTATTTTTGAGAGAGTGCAAGTGGGAGAGGGTCAGAGAGAGAGGGGGACAGAGGATCCAAAGCGGGCTCCACGCTGACAATGGCAAACCCGATGTGGGGCTCAAACTCATGAATAGTTAAATCATGACCTGAGCTGAAGTCAGATGCTCAACCAAATGAGCCACCCAGGTGCCCCTTCACTTTTTTTTTAAAGTTATTTATTTTGAGAGAGAGAGAGAGAGAGAGAGAGAAGGGGGGGGAGGCACAGAGAGAGAGAGGAAGAGAGAGAATCTTAAGCAGGCTCCACGATGTCAGTGCAGAGCCCCATGTGGGGCTCAGTCTCGTGAACGGTGATATCATGACCTGAGCCAAAATCAAGAGCTGGACACTTAACCTACTGAGCCACTCAGGTGCCCCTGTATTCAATTTTAGATGTTCAGTAGTGAGCAAAGTCAGCAAAGGTCAGAAGCCAAACAGCAGAATGTAGGAATGGTTTGAGATTGAGGCACAGCTGGAACTGGGGACTTGAGTGGGCACAGAATTTTGTATCGTCTGATGTAGGTGGATCAGCCTCATTTTTTTTTCTCACTGAATACCATGTCTTTTGAGGCACAATAAACAAAGTTATTAAATTCACATTTATCCTGTCTTAAATTCACATGTCACAGCTCCCATCACCAGATAAAGGCTAACTCACACACCTTGCATAAAATTTAAAAATCCTGGGAAGGTCGCTGATGCCTAGCTTGAATAAATGACTCACTGATAAAAAATGGCCACCACAGCCAAGAGGTCAGTCTTTAAAAGCACAACAGCTTCTGTGTGCTCCATGTGTGGAGGGAAGAGTAGTTTCCAAATAAAGGGGCTGAGGAGGGAGCTAGGTCTGCTATCCATCCCATAGTTTTCTAGCACTATCATCTCCATGATTAAGCACAGGAGTCAAAAGCATAAACAAAGAGCAGGCTGGGATAAAAAACAGTAATTAGAGGACTAAAGAATGCTATCATGTGCAGAGCTTTGAAACACCTCTGAGGTGTAAAGTTTTAGGCCTAATTATGAGAAGCTGCAGGTCATAAGAAGGATGCAGTTACCTTGGGACATCAGACTTACATAAGTATGATTGCTTTTTAGGGCAAGAGTAAACAACAGGTCTTTTAACACCTAAGGGATGGAAGACAGATTAGTGATCTCTGATAATGAGATTCAGTATTTAGGTTTCTCTGTCTTTAGTGTAGCTCTTCATTAGTGGATAGTTCCGTGTTCTCATATGCATTTTACAGGAGAAAACCTAAGGAGATATTTCAAGTAGAAACAGAGTACTGTGACCTACTTAAGAGTTCCCTAAAGCTGCAGGGGGAAAAAAAAGACTGCATATTGCTTGCGAGTGTAAAGAAACAGAGAGGAAGGCTGAGATCAATAGAACACTTTTACAGTGCCAGCTCAGAGGAAGATTTATATAAATTTAATTGAGTTCACCTTGAAAAATCCATGAGGAAAAAGAAATTGTGCCAATGCTTAGCCCTCAGATTAGGTCTGCTTTGCCCGTACCCCCTAGGGTGGATTCTGATCTGAATTTACATCTATCTATAGCTTCTACTGATATTTGGCTATCGGAAATTTAAAAGGAGAGTTTCTAACCACAGTCCATGGCAAGTGAAAGGATGAGCTTTTGGAGAAACTGATCTGTTTAATAAACAGAAGTAGAGGGGCACCTGGGTGGCTCAGTCGGATAAGTGTCCAACTTCGACTCAGGTCATGAGCTCATGGTTTTTGAGTTTGAGCCCCACATCGGGCACAGAACCTGAAGCCTGCTTCGGATTCTGTGTCTCCTTCTCTCTCTGCCCCTCCCCCACTTGTGCTCTGTTTGTCTCTCAAAAATAAATAAATGTAAAAAAAGAAGTAGACCTGACAATCCAATGAAATGAGAATGTGCTACGCCACTAGCAAAACAGAACAGGGGATAAAACCCAAGAACATGAACCTTATATTTTTCTCTAAGAAGCAACACTTCTTGATAGAAAATAGAGAAAGGGAGTTGTGCAGTTTCTCTCTGTCTAGCACATAAACGTGCAACTTCTGCAGCTACACTGGACCTCAAATCTGGACTGTGCCTTCGGTGATTTAACCTTCCCAGACTTCACTCCTCACGAGTAGGATGGAGCTCCTGATAGTACCCTGCTCACAGGGATGATATGTGAGGTCCAAATCATGTACCTGTAAAGTGCTTAAACTGTGTGTGACGCTTAGCCCTTATTAAGACTTAGCTCTTTTGTTATTGCTAATTACCAGTATGTCAGCCAATGAGCAATAATTTATTCAGCATCCTCAGAATGCTTGATCAAGCTTTGGGACAGAATAGCTTTCTTCTTTCCAACTGTCACTAATAACACTACTATATGTATGTATGTATGTATTCTGAGGGGGGGGGAGAAGGGCAGAGGGGCAGAGGAAGAGAGAACCTTAAGCAGGCTCCATGCTCAGTGCAGAGCCCATGATCCTGGAATCATGACCTGAGCTGAAATCAAGAGTTGGACACTTAACTGACTGAGCCACCAAGGCACCCCAATGCTACTGTATTTAAAAAATAAAAATGCTGTTGTACAATAATTTGGCACAAGGTACCATCTATATTAGTTTTCTAAGAATTTCTTGCACAGTAGGTTGTTATAATTGTATTGGAGGACCAGTCCCTTGTCTATGTAAATATACTATATGGGTAAGTATATGAATCCAGAACGTTTAGAAACTCAAGAGAAAGGATTTGATCAAGGCCTCCAGAAATAAGGGTTTTTATAAGTCTTTATGTCTTCATCATTCTCAAAATTGGCTCTGAAAACATTAAATAGATATATTCTTGTGCACATAATTTGCTCACAGCTTATCATTAACAAAGATTCATTGCTCAATTACACATTTATAAAAACATAAAGATCCATTTATTGAGCATTGAGGTGGAATCAATATTCATTCTTCTCCCCCATCACTCTCTTCCTCTTCCTTTTCCCTCCTCCTTTATGCACTTGTCTGAAAACTTCCCTGGGATAGATACTCAGGAGCAGAATTGCTTTGTTCATTCTATATATGAATTTGCTTGTTGGTTTTATTTATCTTTTTTTTTTTTTTTTTTTTTTTTTTTTTTTTTTTTTTTTTTTTTTAGAGCGTGTGAGTAGGGGAGAAGGACAGAGAGAGAGAGAGAGAGAGAGAGAGAGAGAGAGAACATGGCCTGAGCTGAAAGTAAGAGTCGGATGCTCAACTGACTGAGCCACCCAGGCACCCCTATTTTTTTAAGGGTTTTATTTTTAAGCCTAAGGGTTTGGCAAGGGGTGGCTGTTTAAGTGGGATGGAACTTGGATGAATAAATTGGAATGACCACTTTATATGGGTGTGTGCACATGTACCTGCAACACTGAGCTGTGGGCTGGAACTCAACACAGTTCATAATCTTGTACAGATAATAAATGAATTTTATACCTGTTTTAAAGTTAATTTAAGGACTAATAAAAACAAAGTGGCTTTCCACTTTCATGAAGGTTCCAATCTAATAAGGGAGACAATATATTTTAGCATAAAATGATAAACCAGTAATTCAAGGCCATATAGGGTAATATTAATAGCTAAGCACCTACTGAGTGTTTCCAGTGTTACAAACACATTGCATGTATTTTCTTATTTGATCCTCACAAAACATTTTTGAGATTGGTGCTATTATAGGTTCCTATTTTAAAATTGGGACATTGAAGCTTAGGTCAACCCAAGTCACATTACCCCTGAGGGGCGGAGCCACGATCAGAACTTAGGTCTCATCATATCCTACAACTTCTTAGCCTCTACCACTTGCTTCCTCATGCAGCAGAGTAGAGGAATGGTCATGGTAAGGTGGAGAATGGGCACGGTGAGGGTGGAACTCAGGATTGATTCCGAAAAACGTGCTGACACTATTGGAATGACACTGGAAAAATCAGAGTATTAGCAAGACGTGAATCAGAAAAAAAAAAAACTTAAGAAATCTCACTTCAAAAAAAAAAAAAGAAATCTCACTTAATATCTCCATGTGAATAATTTTTTCTTCATAGGATCCACCAGAATTGCCCAATGAAAGAAGAGTCAGGTTTCAAAAGCAGAATGAAAAGTTCTTACGTTGGAAATGTTGGGGTTTGGTGAAGGACAGGCACAATGCTTTAGGTATAGAAAGTGCTTCTTTAAATGACATTGGGTACAGTTTTATTTCTGAAAGCAGAAAAGTATAATGAAGTATACCCTACCTCCACTAGGCCAATGGGTAAGCAAGTGAGGTTAAATCACTCCCTTCTCTTGATAAGCATTCCTTTTGGGGCACCTAGGTGGCTCATTTAGTTGAGCGTAATCTTGATTTCAACTCAGATCATGATCCCAGCGTCATGGGATGAAGCCTTGTGTTGAGCTCCATGCTGAGCATGGAGCCTGCCTAAAATTCTCTCTCTCCCTCTGCCCCTCTCCCTTCCTCTCTCTCTCTTTCTAAAATTAAAAAAAAAAAAAAGTATTCCTTTTATGTGAAAATATTTACTTACTTTCAAAGCCTTAAACTGCTGCAATTGGGCCACCAGATTCCCTTTGTCCCTTACTGTTAAGTTCTGAATATTATGTTTACCGCTACATTCTACCTGACAGGTACCACCAAGAGGTCAGCACACCATCCACAGACTCAACCTTCTGTCTTCCTTCAGACCTCAAGGAGCCGTCTCTTCATGGCCAAAGTGCCTTTCGACCCTTACCCACCCCCTCCAGGAGGAGCTGTCAATCCACATCAGCTATGGGAAAGGTTGTCACCTTGCCATCTTGCACAACCAACATGAAAGAACCCAAGGCACTGTCAGATCACAGCGGTTCTCTAAGTGAAGTCCCTTTAAAGGGCAATGGGAACGGAAATGAGTTTTACTCAGGAAATTCCTCCCTGGCTTCCCCTTTACAGAGCAACCCAAACCTAGAGAAAAAGGCGTTGGAACTTCATTTGTACATTATTTCTACAACCTCATCGATATTTCTGCACTTAAAAAGTTCGTGGACCAATTATATTATAGTAAGTGTCCTCATAAGGTAACTTTGGCTGGAGTAATTTTTAAAGCCAACATGCCTTTCCTGCTTTCCAAAATTTAGCTTTGGAATTTAATAATATTATGAAAGACAAACACACTGGACAATTGAGGATATGATTCTGTTCAGGCTATTGCAAGATGGAAAATGCTTATTAATGAGTGTCTTAAAGAAACAGGGATGGACCAGGGGTTTTACAGAGGCAGGTAAACAAGGGAGTCTCCTGGCAATCATGGAGAAGGATGGACAAGGTCTTATCTTGGAATATTTGTGAGCAGGGTGGTCTTTTTCAGTTAGCTGGGATGTTTTCTCAACCATTTCTGCTTTTAGAGAGCACAGAGCTCAGATAAAGTTCAACACTGTCAATACGTCTCTGTATTTCTTAGCTGAGCTATTGAAAGGAGGTTAATCAGGGTCATTGTCATAGGAGCAGATAATTTTGGAGTGATTTCCTCCAAAATAAGGTACTTAGAATTTTACCTTATTTTAGAAATGAGGAAAATGAATATTTTAGGTGACTTACTCAAGATTATATAGTAGGTTTAGAGACAGAGTCAGAACTCTCATGTGTAATCTTTTTATTACACAAGGATCAGTTTAAAAATAAGTAATTTATTACAGGAATAACATGATCCTTTTCAGTTATCTTCAGTGATATATAATTTTTACTATTGACCTTATAACACAATAATATTAAAAAATATGACAGGCTCTTTTCATTCAGAAGAAGCTAAGGAAGCAAGGGGTTTGATAAATGGCTAAAAACTGAAAGACTGCAGAACAGCTCAAGTTTTTTCTCATAGCATGGTTCAGAATGGTCAGTTTTTAAATTAAATGTTAAATGCTCAAAATTTCTCCTTAAATTCTTACTTTTATTATTTTTTTAATATTTTATTTTTAAATAATTTCTATACCCAATGTGGGGCTTCAACTTACAACCCTAAGATCAAGAGTCACATGCTCCAGCAACTGAGTCAGCCAGGTGCTCCTAAATTTTTAAACAGCTTTCTCCAAATTAAGAATTTAAACAAATCTTAAATAGAGGGGGAAACTCTGATCTATCAATAGGAGGCCACATATGTTCTAATAGAAAAACCAAATTTTGATCTATCTAAATGTTTCAAAATGACCGTTTATGTTTCCCTGAATTGACTAACTCCGGGTTTTAGTACTCCTTTTTAATTCTGCAGCAGAGACATGATTGGGGCAAGTCAGACAGGCAAACTCATAGCCCTCCTGATAGTAAAAGCAGTAACAATAATGGACATGTATTAACAGGTAGGATCTGCCTTGATGCTTTCATATATTAATTCATTTAATCTGCACACAACCCTAGGAGGTAGAACTGTTATTCTCATTCCATAGATGATGAAATTAAGGCACTGAGAAATTAAATGATGTATGCAACTTTGCACAATTACTGTGGAGCCAAGATTTAATTTTTTTTCTATGACCATTGAAATAAATGTCAGTGGAGGGGGGTTATCTTTGAGTTGGTAGATGCTATCATTAAAAAAAAAATTTTTTTTGATGTTTATTTATTTTTGAGAAAAAGAGACAGAGCACTAGCTGGGGTGGGGCAGAGAGAGAGGGAGACACAGAATCCGAAGCAGGCTCCAGGCTCTGAGCTGTCAGCACAAAGTCCTATGCAGGTGGGAATGCAAGCTGGTGCAGCCACTCTGGAAAGCAGCATGGAGGTTCCTCAAAAAACTAAAAACAGAACTACCCTATGACCCAGCAATTGCACTACTAGGCATTTATCCACAGGATACAGGTGTGCTGTTTCGAAGGGAGACATGCACCCCAATGATTATAGCAGCACTGTCAATAATAGCCAAAGTATGGAAAGAGCCCAAATGTCCATTGATGGATGAATGGATCCATGATGGATGAATTTATGAATGGATAAAGAAGATGATTACTCGGCAATCAAAAAGAATGAAATCTCACCATGTGCAACTACGTGGATGGACTAGAGGGTATTATGCTAAGTGAAATTAGTCAGAGAAAGAAAATATCATATGACTTCACTCATATGAGGACTTTAATATACAAAACAGATGAACACAAGGGCAGGGAAGCAAAAATAATATAAAAACAGGGAGGGGGACAAAACAGAAGAGACTCATAAATATGGAGAACAAACTGAGGGTTACTGGAGGGGTTTTGGGAGGGGGGATGGGCTAAATGGGTAAGGGGCACTAAGGAATCTACTCCTGAAATCACTGTTGCACTATGTGCTAACTAACTTGGATATAAATTAAAAGCAAAATACAAAATAAAACTAAAAACAAAAAAACAAAGTCCTATGCAGGGCTCAAACTCACAAACGGTGAGATTATGACCTGAGCTGAAGTTGAATGCTTAACCGACTAAGCCACCCAGGTGCCCCTAATAGATGCTATTATTAAAAATGTTCCATCCCTTAGGGTGCCTGGGTGGCTCAGTTGGTTGGGCGTTCGACTTTTGACTTTGGCTCAGGTCATGATCTTGCAGTTTGTGGATTTGAGCCCACTGTCGGGCTTTGCATTGACAGTGTGGAGCCTGCTTGGGATTCTCTCTCTTCCTCTCTTTCTGCCCCTCCCCTGCTTGCGTGCACTCTCTCTCTCAAATAAATACACTTAACATTAAAAAAATAATGTTCTATCTCTGGAAAGATGGAAAATGGGCAAGCAAATATTTCATACATATGATGAATCAGGTTAGCATTCATTCTAGTAAAAATAAGACATTAATTCAATATAAATATTTAGAAAGTTATGACTTTTGTGACACTGTTTCTTTCATCATGTTATTCTTGGTGATATTTCCATAAGTTTTAGGAAATTAAAAAGCAATAATCTCCTAAATCAGTCAGACGTATCTTGGCTAACTGATCTCTTGTGCTTTGAGATCTAGAATGATTATTCACATTGAGGTAGGGAAATGCTACTGGGAAAAAGGAATGGACATGTTAACTCTCTCTGTATTTTCGGGGAAAATAAACCTAAACCATCCAGTGAGAAATTAGCACTCATTCTGATTTTAAGGGTTTCCAAAGAGCCAAGTCTCCTTCAGTGATCCATTTTATCTGTAACTTTCACCAAAAATAATTACATCTGAGTTCTTTAGCATCTCAAATTCTACAGAAACAATATATGGCAATTCTTTGCCATTTATATGTTGTGAAGATAGGTGCTAGAAAGCTAAATAACTAAGGAATATCCCCAAATTAAAATTCTAGATTTAAGGTAACCATTAACATTTAGAGAGGAAAAAAAGACAGCTTTTTTTTCCCCTTAAAACAATGACAAAAGTAATTAAGAACAGGGGTGCCTGGCTGGCTCAGTTGGTAGAACATTTGACTCTTGTTCTCAGGGTCCTGAGTTTGAACCCCACACTGAGTATAGAGATTTCTTTAAAAAAACAAAAGTAGTGGGGCACCTGGGTGGCTCATTGGTTAATCGTCTGACTCTTTGATTTCAGCTCAGGTCATGGTTCAGCTCCTTTGCTCATGCTTTCTCTCTCAAAAATAAAAATAAACATTTTTTAAAAAATAAATAAAAAACAAAAGTAGTGAGAAAAAGCACATACTTCCCCCACCCACTCACCATCCTGCTCTGATATTAAGGAATAAGAAAGGGGTAAGTTTGTTTGGAGTTGTCAATCAGCAACGTTTCAGAAATTCTTTCAGACCTGTCTGTTAAGCCTTAACATAAAATAAAAGATTATTTAGAGGACTTGCTGAACACTACATACCAACTTATTTTCAAGACCCAGAATGAATGGAAAATGGCAACACTAAAGATTTGAGGGAAAAAATAACCCTATTAATAGGGGAATGGTTAAGAAAACTATTGTATAATCTATGCTATGAAATACTAGGTAATCATTAAAAAGATTGACGTAAACCTATATATACAGAAATGGAAAATTGTCTACCATATATTAAGTGAAAAAAAAGTTCCAGATTAACATATGTGATGTAATTTAGCCAGTACTAAATATATATTATAAAAAGATATCATCTAATATGTATAAGATGTATGTCTTTTGTTAAGTTTATTTACTCTGGGAGAGAAAGAGGGTGCACGTGTGTTTGAATGCACACTAGTGCAGGAGGGGCAGAGAGAGAGGGAGGGAGAGAGAATTCCAAGCAGGCTCTGCGCTGTCTGCCTCAGAGCCTGCCTCCGGGCTCGATCCCACGAACCTTGAGATCATGACCTGAGCTGAGATCAAGAGTCAGACGCTTAATGAACCGAGCCACCCAGGCGCCCCTATAGATGTATGTTATAATTAGTATGTTTTTATATACCTGAAAGGATACAAACCAAACTGATAATAATATAGCAAGGTACTTTGTTGTCGCTGTTGTTTTTAATTTCAGTATAATTAGCATACAGTGTTATATTAGTATCAAGTATATAGTAAGGTACTTTGACTAGTGGGATGGGAGGATTAGGGAGAGACATGGAACTTTTATCTTTTGTTTATGCATTTTTGTACTGTTTGATTTTGATAGATAATTTCATTTTATAATGAGCAAGTGTCATGCTTAAAATTATTAAAAACTATATAAGGAAACAAATACTCTGTGGTATTATTTACATAAACAAATCACGTACTATAGCATGGATTAAGGAATAGATATACAGTATTGACTAAAAGTAGGAGAAATTGATTTTCAGTAAACAAAGATTCTAACTATTCCCACTTTTTTCCTCTTTTAGAAAGCTACTCTTTTACAAGATCCCCTACGTGCTGGTGAGCTCAGTCCTACCGGAAGTCAAAAGCCATATAGGTAAGGAGTGATGATATGCTAGAGTTGCGTGGGGGACTCTTCCCTCATCTCTGCCTCTCGTAACTCCAGGTGTTGATGACCAACACATTTACACCTCTACTTCAACTCTCTGCCCTGAATTTTAGGTCTGCAAACATAATTGCCCACTGGCCATCACCTCTTGTAGGTCTTACAAGAACTTTAAAGTCAGTATATTTGAAACAGAACTCAGCATCTTCCTTCTGGGACCGGACCTTCCTCTTATGTTCCCTAACACAGGGCCTGATGTTGTTATCCCCAGATCACCTAAGCCAGAGTCCCGGAAGTCATCCTTATCTTCTCTTTCCCCTACACCACACCCCCCCCCCCCCCCCCCCCCCCCCCCCCCGCCCCCACACCCAGCCATTCACCACATGATTTATTGCTCTTCTCTAATATATCTGGATAACATTTACTTCTTTGACTGTCACATGCTCAGCCCAATTACCTTTGTTCTGAGCTCCTACAGTATTTTCCTAGCTGGCTTCTGCCTTCACTCTCTAAACCATTCTCCATAACAATAAAGAAATCTTTCAGAAGCACAAATCTGATCATGTAACTCCCTCCCTTAAAGTCTTTGAATGCCTCTCCATTGCCTTTAGAAAAAGGTCTAAACTTTACAGCAGCTTATAAAGATCTTTCTGATGTGTCTTTTCGTCTTTCCATCTTCAACTGTTGTGTCCCCTCAACTCCTGCCCTAACCTCCTGATCCAAATGATCTCACAGTTCTCAGAAAGCTCCCTGGTTTTTTTGTTTGTTTGTTTTTTCCTCTATCCTGGAACCCTACTCTCTATTCTTCTTCTCCTTCATGAATAACTTCAACTCATCAAGACTTAGCTTGCTATCCCTTTCTCTAAAAATCATTTCTCAGAACTACATTAGGAGGGGCCCCTCTAGAACATTCTGTGCTTACCATCTTTTAGGACTCAACAGCCTATCTTATGATTGCTTATTTGATTATGTGCTGCCCTATTATGTACTATGCCCCTTAAGGGCCAAGACTGTACCTTGGTCATTGGCACACAGTAGGCTGCCTTTATGGAATGAATGAATAAATTGTTAAAACAATTAAACATGAATCTGATTTAAAGTGTGGTATATCAGCTTTCAAAAGGAATGCGGTCCTGACACATGTGGCAAGATGGATGAACCTTGAAGAAATTATGCTAAGTGAAAGAATCCACACATAAAAGGACAAATATTGTATGATTCCACTTACTTATAGGAGGCATTGAGAATAGGCAAATTCATAGAAACAGAAAATAAAAGAGAGGTTACTAGGAGCTGAGGGGAGAGGGAAATGGGGACCTACTGTTCATTAGTACAGAGTTTCAGTTTGGGAAAATGAAGAAGTTCTGGAAATGGATAGTAGTGATGGTTATACAACACCGTGAATGCACTTAATTTGTATACCTAAAAATGGTTACAATGATAATTTTATGTTATATATATTTTATTTCAGTTTTAAAACAGGTAAGGTGTGTGTATACGTGTTTAAGGGAATAGATAAAACAAGATTGGCAAAATGTTAAAAATTATTGAATCTAGGTGATAGATGGGGTTTCTTATACAATTTTCTCCATTTTTGTGTATGTTTAAAAATTTCTATAGTAAAAGTTTTAAGAAGGCTTAAGAAACATAAGAAAATATAACAAGTATCTTATTTATATCTTGATTTCAACAAACCAAAACTAAAAGACATTTTTTAAATAAGTTTTTTAGTTTATTTATTTATTTTGAGAGATAGAGAACAAGGGAGGGACAGAGAGAGAGAGAGACAGAATCCCAAGCAGGCTCTGCACTGCCAGCATGGAGCCCACCATGGGGCTTGAACCCATGACTGTGAGACCATGACCTGAGCCAAAATCAAGAGTCCGATGCTTAACTGACTGAGCCACCTAGGCGCCCCTAAAAAGACATTTTTAAGACAATGGAGGACATCTGAATGTGGACTGGGTATTAGACCATAGCAAAGAATTATTGATAATTTTGACAGATGTGACAATGATGATTTTGTAAGAAAATGTTTATTTTGAGGTATGTTCTGAGGTATGTAGGGGTAAAGTAAGGATGTTTGTGATTTAGTTTTTAAAAGATGGCAATACAGACAGCTTAGAATTTCTATCTGTTTTCATATGTTTACTGCAAAAAAGTATCAGTTTTAATTTTAGTGCTTTATTTAAAGTGGTTTTGGGGCGCCTGCAGTCGGTTAAGCGTCCGACTTCAGCCAGGTCACGATCTCGCGGTCCGTGAGTTCGAGCCCCGCGTCAGGCTCTGGGCTGATGGCTCAGAGCCTGGAGCCTGTTTCCGATTCTGTGTCTCCCTCTCTCTCTCTGCCCCTCCCCTGTTCATGCTCTGTCTCTCTCTGTCGCAAAAATAAATAAACGTTGAAAAAAAAAATTTTTTTAAAGTGGTTTTAAAACTAACTGGATAATAAAATAGGCTTTATCTCTCTGTATATGTGTGGCTTGAAATTTATCCTTGAAGGCCAGAAAGAGAGTTGGGTTCTACCACTCTCTTGACTCATGAAAAGCATATTTCTTACAAAGTTAATTCCCGAAGGCAACACATTTAAAATGCAGTGATTTAAAATGCACTATGAAGAATGTGGTCTATGTACAAGATATATAAGACAGGTCTCTGCCTGCAAGGCACCTTCAGTTTAAAAGGAGTAAACATTCTTTGGGTTTCAAATTAGAACTCTGTCACAAATGTGAGTCCTGTAACATCATGGATGTATAGGGACCATTGTGAACATATACACAGTGCTTCTGAGATAATGTATGAAAAGCCTTTTCCAGCTGTAAATCATTATAAAAATGTATTATTTACATAGAATATCCCCTCCAAAAATGAAAACATATGGGAAAATAGAGCTTATCATTAGATCAAGAATCCTTCTTGCTACATTATTTGAGTGAATTTATATTTTCTAGCTGATGAAAATATAGAATATCTGTTAAAATTAATGTAACATTTCCCCTTATTCCTAAATTGAATAATGGAGTCTTCTGGCGCTAAACTTTTTATTATTTAAATTAGCCAAGTACAGTTTACCATCATCTATGTAAAAACAAATATTCTGGGCAGAGAAACTGTGATTATATCAATGTCTCTACAGAAATATAGACTCCTGAATCTAACTTGTATTTATGATGTATATGAGACCTCAATTTACATATGAATTGATTTTTAGTATGAAGAGATCAGTGTGTTTTTTCTTATGAAAAAAAAATTTTTTGTAAGTTTGGTATTTCAGTCTATTATCATAGGTGCCAAAGGAAAAAAAACTGTCCCTATGTGAATCTCAGCAAATTGTCGACTAATGGGAAAAATAGGAAAGTCAATTGGAAAGTAATTCTGCTGGTATGCTTTCTGAGCTTGTGGTTTTCTAAGCTCACTTGTTTGTGAAAACTACATTTCTGCTGTTTTTGGAGTTCTCAGAGAACAGAGGGATTTTATAGTATTTTTTAAATGAAATGGGATTGTAATTAGAAGTGGATGTATAGGGAAGTGGGATCTCAAAGCTCGTTCGTATTTTATTTACAAACTATTTATTAAATATTTACTGTGTGCTAAGCACATGTAGTAACCAAAGTATCAAAATGATGGCGTAGGTATGATACTACCTATTTTACAGATGGGAAACTGAGGCACACAGAGAGTGGGTAACTTGCCCATGGTAATTACTCAGGTAAAGAGAGGCAGATCTAGAATCTGAACCCCGTATTTATAATCATGTTCTTCTGCCTCTGACTTCTGTCCCTGAATTCTTGATCATTTCTCTTGCAGACTCTCCACTGGAAAAGAGACTGTCTTCCTGTTTTTGTTACTAAGAGAGGCTCAGTGATTGGATAGAAGAGAAAATCATAGTGTCTTTAAATAGAAGGGGAGGTAGTAGGCAAGAGCCAAGATTCCGTGCAGTAGTATTGGGATAAATGGCTGGTATTAAGGTTGGAGTAGGTGGTAAAAATATTTTTACTTTGGGGTTCCTGGGTGGCTGGGTCAGTTAAGCGTCCAACTTCGGCTCAGGTCATGATCTCGCAGTTCATGGGTTGGAGCCCCACGTCGAGCTCTGTGCTGACA